TGACTGCGGGCAGGGCTTTAAACAGAACTCTGCCCTGATCACCCACCGGCGCATCCACACCGGGGAGAGACCCCACGAGTGTCCCCAGTGTGGGAAGGGATTCACAGACAGCTCCCATCTGACTGTCCACCTGAGGAGCCACACGGGGGAGAGGCCCTATGAGTGTGAGCAGTGCAATAAGAGGTTTTGCACCTCGTCTGATCTCCTCAAGCACCAGCGCATCCACACGGATGAGAAACCCTTCCGCTGTCCCGAATGTGGGGTGGGATTCAAAGAGAACTCAACTTTGGTCAGACACAGGAGGATCCACACCGGGGAGAGACCCCACAGGTGTCCCCAGTGTGGGAAGAGCTTTTCTCAAATTTCCAGCTTGACCAGACACCAGAAGAGGCAGCACTGAGGGCAGCCCTGGGTGGGAAGAGCTCCGTGCGCTGCTCCAGCTCCATCTCACACGGGAGGATCTCCCCTGGATGGTCCCCAGTGAGCCCAGGTGGGCAGAGCCCCCTTGACTCCTGCTTGAAGAACACCTGGCTGGGGGCTCCACATCCTCCTGGCTCCCGTGGATTTTCTTTTTATTTCTCTTTGTCATTTTTATACACTTTTCTAAATATGAGGTTAACAATAAAGACATTGAACCAAGACGAGGATGTGGACATGGGAGGATCTTCCAGGGGGTGAGGGGTATGCTGGGCCAGAGGGAGTTGAGAGTTCCTGGGACAGATTTGGGGCTTCCTTAGGACTCTGGGAACCCCACGGTCCCCATTCCCTGTGCCCATTCCCATTCCCGCTCCTTATCCCCAATCTGTCTCCCTAATACTGGTCCCCATTCCTGGTCCCTGTCCTCAATACTTGTCCACATTCCCTGACCCCATGCTCTTTTTGGATTCCCGTTCCCCATGCCGCTTCCCCATTCCCGATCCCGAATCGCGCTCCATGTCCGCATTCGCATTCCTTGTCCCGATTCCGGGTCCCCATGCCCGGTCCGCTCTCTCCGGACGATCCAAGTCCCTCCCCCGACCATCACGTCACCGAGCATACCCCGAGCTCCTCCCCTTCACCAATCCCAGCGCGCGATCGCTCCNTTATCAAGCATTGCAGAATCCACACCGGAGAACAACTGGGATCTGAGGAGGAAAAGCCCAGCCTGGAGCAGGGTCAGAGCTCAGAGCTGGGGCTCCATGAGCAGCTCCAGGATGAGATGGAGAAGCCCCACAAGTGCTCCGAGTGTGGGAAGAGCTTCAGGTGGAGCTCGTCCCTGAGCAAGCATCGCAGAATCCACAAGGGGCAGCAGGTGGGGTCTGAGGGGGACAAACCCACCCTGGACCAGGGTCAGGGATCAGAGCTGGGGCTCCATGAGCAGCTCCAGGAGAAGCCCCACACGTGCTGCGAGTGTGGGAAGAGCTTCAGGTTGAGATCCTGCCTGATTATCCACCAGAGGATCCACACGGGTGGACAGCTGAGATCTGAAGGAGAAAAACCCAACTTGGACCATGGTGGTGGTCAGAGATCAGAGCTGGAGGTCCATGAGCAGCTCCAGGATGAGGAGAAACCTCCCAAGTTCTTGGAATGGGAGAAGAGCTTCATGCTGAGCTCCCACCTGATTGAACACCTGAAGAACCAGACGGAGCAACAGCTGAGATTCGAGGGAGAAAAACCCAACCTGGGTTATGGAGGTGCTCAGATATCAGAGGTGGAGGTCCATGAGCAGCTCCAAGATGAGGAGAAGCCCCACAGGTGCTCGGAATGTGGGGAGATCTTCACGCTGAGTTCCCACCTGATGGAACACCTGAAGCTCCACACAGAGCAGCAGGTGAGATCCGAGGGGGACAAACCCAGCCTGGACCAGGGAGGTGAGCAGAGCTTGGAGCTGGGGCTCCATGAGCAGCTCCAGGGTGGGGAGGAGAAGCCCCACAGGTGCTCGGAGTGTGGGAAGATCTTCAGGTGGAGAGCCAACCTGGTCCGCCACCTCAGAATCCACACGGGAGAACGTCCCTACCAGTGTGGGGTGTGTGGGAAGAGCTTCAGCCAGAATTCCAACCTGACTGTCCACCTCAAAATCCACACGGGGCAACAGGTGGGGTCCGAGGGGGACAAACCCACCCTGGAGCAGGGTCAGAGCTCAGAGCCGGGGCTCCACGAGGAGCTCCAGAATGGGGAGAAGAAGTCCCACAAGTGCTCCGAGTGTGGGAAGATCTTCAGGTGGAGGTCCAACCTGATCCGCCACCGCAGGATGCACACTGGGGAGAGGCCCTACGTGTGTGGGCACTGCGGGAAGGGCTTCACCCAGAAAGCCCACGTGATGGAGCACCAGAAGATCCACGTGGGGCCACAGCTGGGCGGAAAACCAACCCTGGGTCGTGAAGGGGCTCAGGGATCAGAGCTTGGGGTCCACGAGCAGCTCCAGGTTGGGGAGGAGAAGCCCCACAAGTGCTCCGAGTGTGGGAAGAGCTTCAGGTGGAGATCCAAAATGATGAGGCATTTCAGAACCCACACGGGGGGACAGCTGAGATCTGAGGGGGAAAAACCCACCCTGGGTGAGGGATCGGAGCTGGGGGTCCAAGAGCAGCTCCAGGATGGGGAGGAGAAGCCCCACAAGTGCTCGGAGTGTGGGAAGAGCTTCTGGAAGAGCTCCAACCTGACCCGCCACCTCAGAATCCACACGGGAGAGCGGCCCTACGTGTGTGGGGTGTGTGGGAAGAGCTTCACCCAGAAAACCCACCTGAGTGACCACCAGAAGGTCCACACTGGGCAACAGCTGGGCGGAAATCCAACCCCGGCTCATGAAGGGGGTCAGATAGTGATGGTGGTGGTCCAAGAGCAGCTCCAAGATGGGGAGAAGAAGCCCCACAAGTGCTCGGAGTGCGGGAAGAGCTTCAGGAAGAGAGCCAACCTGATGGAGCACAGCAGGGTCCACACCGGGGAGAAGCCCTACAAGTGTGGGGAGTGTGGGGAGAGCTTCAGCTGGAGCTCGCAGCTCATCCGCCACCAGAGGGTCACCCACACCGGCGAGAGACCTTACCCGTGCCAGTTCTGCGCCAAGAGCTTCACCTGCAAGTCCCACCTGACCAGCCACCTGAGGACCCACACCGGGGAGAAGCCCTACGA